TAGTTTGAAGACTAGAGAGTCTCTTTTTTTTCAATTGATATTTTGAGAGACCCGGGCGCAGAAGGGCGAGAAGAAATACTGACCGAATGTGTGTTTGTTGCTTGCAAGTAGTGGCTCCTCCTCCTTTCCTTGGTCCTTCATGCTCATGTTTGTTGAGGGTCAAGTTAATTTTATCTGCTTGTACTACTCGTTACACGCGAGACAAATGCAACGGCCATGTTCTTTTCCAATCCAACACATCTCCCCTCCCTCTTTAGGTCTAGACTACAATTGATCCATGAAAGGGTAAGCAAGAATGTAAAAAAGATGGGAAGGGTATATTTTTTTTTCTCAAGTCGAGTCTAAGTGATCTATTTTTCGGGTCTTACGAATGGCAAAGGCTCTATGATGTATCTACCAGGGTGATATTTCGGCCAGAGGTGGTTTGCAATGTATCCACTGAACGTGCTTTGATCCGTCCCCATGAAATCTCGACCCATCGCGGCAAGACTGGCATCCATGAGTGCCACAATATGTGGGAACATACGGACCCCATCGATTGGATTTTGGACTTTCTCAAGAATCGCTAGTGAGCCTTCGAAATCTGTGAGGAATACAGTACATGGGAACTGCTCAAGATACTCTTGAAACAATGGGTCTTGGCGCGGGTGGCGCACGTCCGTCGCGAGGAATACAAACGGAGATTCGGGCGGAGATTGCTTGCACTTTTCGAGGAAGGATGGCAACTCATCTCTCTGGTCTCCAGTCGGCCCAGCCGCTACCATGGCGGCTGACTTTGACGAGGGAGATACAGAGGCTGACTCTGACACAGAAACTGAAACCAAAGTTGGCGTCGAGTTAGTCGGTGACAGAATAGTCGCTGATGCTGCTGGGGATTTAGGCGATGGTTTCTCTTTACTGGGCCTCTCATTGTCAGGTGCGTCCATGGGCGGCACTGGTCCTCGTTTTCGCATCCTCCGGGCATAAGTTTGGTCTTGCTTGACCTTTTCACCCAGCCATGACTCAAGTCTCTGGAGATTCTTCGGTGTTGCCTTCTCAAAGCCTCCGTCAGACGTTCTGAGATGTGCGCCAAGGAATCCTGGTACAATCCTCTTGGTCAATACAACCCATTGATCGACTTGCTTCTCTGCAAGAGCTGATGCTCCTATGATATCTCTGTTCCAAAGGTCCATGTTCTTTGATACAAACAGCTTAAAGTTGTTATGCTCCTCAGTGCTGGCCTCGACTCGGTCTGTCGCAAAAAGTGATCCAAAGTGAATGACTCGCTCAGGCCGCTTCTGCAGATCCGAAAGGAGAATTGTATTAGCGTATCGGTTGAGCCAGGCAAAAGCCGGGTCGGATGGATCGCTTATGTTCGGCTTGATACTATAGTCTGCATCGAAATCATCGAGGATTTTGTACTCGTATCGTTCCGAGTCCTTGTAAAAATACACATCTTTATCGGCGTCAGTGATATTTAGGCGCTCATATAGCCATGGCATGGTCATGTTTGGTCGGTCAAACACCCGGATTGGGTTCGTCCGTCCGTCGAGACTAGGGGCGTCGGCCAAAAGTCCTGGGATGTTGTAAAAATATGTCCAAGGTGTCACTGTCCACGCATGATAGAAGATGCAATCCAGTTCTCGCTTCCGATCCTTCTCGGACAAGGCTAAGAGCTGCTTCCTAGACAAGAGTGGTTGAAGCAGAGGATTGTAGTCCCGGCAATACTCAATGCCAGTACGATTGCGATCTACCCACTGCTGAAGCAACACCTCTGGCTCTTTCCACACAAGGTTGAAACGCCTTAGATTACTCAGATGCAAGGGTGGGAGGAGCAGAGTCCTGTTAAGGTGGGCTGCAAGCCGAATTGCATTCTCGAGCGACATGAGCTGATTGTGAAAACCACTGTGCGGGAGGTATCCCAGAAAGCGCTCTCCCTCGAACGGCTCGCGTGCTGGAAACATTGTGAGGAATGGATCTTGGCCCTGAGTGCTGCTGCTGGGCTGTTGTGATTTGCCGGAAGGAGCTGAGACGGAGCCGGTGTCCGTAGGGCTGTGAGTCGATTGGTTGTTGCTCTTGACTCCGGTACCCCATGTTGAAGGAGTATAGCTCAGGTACGGCACCCACTCCAACTGTGCGGCGATGAAGAAGAGGATAGCGCTAAAAAGCAAGAGCATGAAGAGAATCCGGCTTTTTGACCGAAACTCTAGCTTGATGCCTCCGCGCTTGAATGACATGATGCTGGCAATGGGCAGTGGAAGGCAAGATGTCAATGATGGAGGAAGATGAAAGAGATGGTGAAGGAAAAGGCCACGAGAGGGATGAGTTGGGAGCAATGTCTCCAAGGAGGAAGGGTCTCGCACAGTCAGCAGAGGGAGAGAGCTGTGCAACGAACAAAACTCGGTATGAAGGGGGATGAGGTGTGGGGTGATGAGGTGATCAGGCGGGAAATGTACTAGATGGCCGAGACAATAAAGATGATGAATGTGGCAAGACAACCGGGAGCAGAACAAAGAGGATGGAACAAGACAAGGTATGCAAAAGGGTAAGAGAAAGGGTATGAGAAAGGGTATGAGAAAGGGTTTGAGAGGGTGAAGAAAAGAAAGAAAAGAAAGAGGTGTGGGGTGGGGGGCTGCAAAAAGAGAGAAAAAAAGAGGGATAAAAAGTAAAAGAGCCGGCTCGTTGAGCATCTCATTGACCATACCATCCCGGGACGCTTTACACCCATCTCCATTGGTCGTTCCAGAGCCTACACTGCTCTGGTGAAGGGTTGTTTTGGCGAGAGCCTTCGGGCGAGTCCCTCTTGTCGAGTTTCAAGTGCAGACGGAAAGAGCAGAGGCCGACGGGCACTAGCCACAACATATCCCAGATAAGCCAGTTGTTCCACAGCTCAACTCAGCTCAGCTCAGCTCAGTCCATCTCAGCAGGTCGTGTCCCGGGGTCCACGGTCCAAGTGCACGTCTGGCACCCTGCTCCCATACCCTTTCATCTGTTCAAAACCAGTCATATCATCACACAGCAACAATAACCGCCCATTGAGGACTCCACTGTCATCAAGGGCCGCATGCCGACCAAAAAAAGAGAACCAAGACCTATTTCGAGGGTCTATTGGATCAACTGGACAAGTTTAGCCGAGGAAAGAAGACAATTCGAACCAAAAATAATGTCTCCTTTGCGACTAGTCTAATTGCTTCAGCATTCGAAAGGGAATTCAATTGTATCTAGCAAAGAATACCAACCAACCAACCCCACACACAAACCAAACGACTAACCAAAAAAGATGGAGCTACTCCCATAGCACTGACATAGAGAGCGCTATTAAGAGCTGACTGATTCAAAAAATCTACACAAGGTAAAAATACTTCAGAGTAGCTCGACAGTATTCTAAATTTGGCTTCTATGAATGAGAGACCCTATCCCCGGGGTTCCATTTCCTAGAACCTTACCACCGGTGCTATTCAGCCACCTCTACCGATAGGCAGCTTGAAACTACACAATTGAGGCCTCAATTGCTCAAAAGGATAGTAGGGTAGTGTCCCCCGAGTCAAGACAAAACAAGAGGCTGTGCCAACAGATCTTTACTGATTCTAATACAGTCTCAAATTCAGACCGTTTCAGCTCGTAGGTTAGTAGTTTGCCACAGCCAAGGGAAAAAATTGACCAGTAGCGTGATGTGGGAATACCCCTGGTAACGATCTGCACCAAGCCATGCCTAGCCGGACCAAAGTCTCTCGGTATAGAACAGACTGACTCAAATTGAGCAACGGGAGGCCATGTCTACAGAGCCTTCGCAAGAGGACTCATAAAAAAGGTCTAATAGTTGATACCTCTGAACCGGGACTCGAAGAAGAGGGCGAGAAGAGGAACCATGTCGAAATAAGGTAATGGTGTACAGGGAACTATGCACTACCGGATCTATTGTACCCTTTTCGATAATATTAACGTGCCTAGCAATGGGATTTACCCAAGGATAGTACAGTCCCCTAAAGGTGGGGATCGGCCTCATCCCCCCAAGGACAAGGGTAGGGTGACCTTGGCACCGTAGACACCAGACCCGGGTGCTCTACCCTGAAGGCCAAATGGTTGACTAGTTGACGAACTGCCTCCTTTACCCCCATCACCCAAGACACCTACACTGTTCTCGCTATTAACGAAGCTGGGGCACAATCGCGCTTCTCTCTAAACTTACAGACTAGCAGACACAGCCACTGTACTCTCGCAGACTTCATTTCTTGTCAGTGGTGTCTGATGCAGTCTGGTCTTATGCCAGACTACACCTCCATCCAGTCTAACTCTAGAGCTGGCATCTCACTGCGGATTTTTCAGTCCGCACGACTCTCACGTTTTTCCGATCCACAAGAAACAGGAGACATGTCCAGGAAAATCCAACCAAGGCAACGGTCAAAAGTCACTTGCAGATTAACAAGCCATAGTCTCTGGTGTGTGATGGGATGTAGTCTTTCAAACGTATCAATATCCCTCGCTGGATCCTAAGGGGATGATGCCAAAGGAGAGGAGGAGACGGGCGATTGTCAAACGGTGTCAGATGGATCATAGATCAGCCTATCTCCGATAATGGTATTCATGTCATTGGATCCTCTTAAGATTGGTGTAAGAGTAGGATAACTATTGATTTGGCCGGCGCACTTTGTGGATCCCCTCCAAATGTGTTTCTTTAATCTGTTTTACTCTTTATATTGTTTGGAGATTGGTACTCGTAGGCCACGATGTTACTGGGTTGTAGCCAGCAATTGCTCGTTTCTTGTGAGATAGAGTAGCAGATTGTAGTTTGTAGGTAGCAAAGCCTGCAGATTGAGCTGGAGGAGTGAATGGATGGAGAAAGGCTTTGAAGGAAAGGAGGTAAGGGAGGTTAGGGGGAGAAGAGAAAGAGAAACTTGCAAAAAGAGAGTGAGAGGAGAACAGTGAGATGGGACTTGAAAGAGAAAGGGAACGTGGCGCTTGGCTCGGACATGGGGGAGGGAGGAATGATGGGCAAAAAAGAATCAAAAGATTAAGTTATGGGGCCGAACCGGGAATTGAACCCGGGACCTCTCGCACCCAAAGCGAGAATCATACGACTAGACCATCCGGCCAACTT